CGATGACACACATTTCGTGTGTTTTATGTGAGCAGTTCTGTTCGAACAGTTGGAGTAGAGAATATTGTAAGTTACTGCTAGCAAAACAATGCGAAATATGTAATTATTTTCGGTAATCCGGACACTTTTGGTAATCTGACACACCTTTGGTCCCATACCTGTCGGATTATCAAGGGACAACTGTATATGGATTTATTTTGTACTTTTTCTATAAAAGTGGTTCGTGTTAAATCCGTCATTTTGTTTTTATTTCAAATTTTGACTTCGGATTCGTAATCAGCGATCCCGAAAACCCTCGAATACGGACTTTCAGTCAAATTGATAATGCTTTTGACTTTTGGCCAGCTTTTTGGGATTTGGCCCCACTGTGCATCCGGTAAATTACAAGAACGAATTAACGACGTACACATTTAGTCGTTTTAAAATTAAAAAACTCCATTCATATTAGAATGAGAGTTTTACAACTTGTTTCGGTAGAATATCCAACCAGTTAAATTAACAATAATCCCAATTTCGGAATATTTTCGAAGAATTCCCCAACTTCAAATTCCTTTCGTCTAATTTGTAAGAGTTTTATTTTAAATAATATTCCAGCCAAATATTTCTCGTAAACCAAATTTCAATATCATTGGCAGATTTACTGATTTTCCGACAGTTTTTATAACAAAATTTCGCCACGTTCGCACCTTTTCGTTTTCGTTTCGCGTTAAAGAAATTCGATATTTCTTTACTCCGGAATTCCGCCAATATTCAGATTTAAGCAGGAAACTCAGTCTTGGATCTGTGAATACGACAACCGTCATTGGCCAAAATTGCTTTACATCGTCTTTTGCCATTACGGTAAAACTATGTTCTATATTTAACTTTATCGAATCGTTTTGTATTCGGCCACGACCGAGCCGCGAAAAATACAACGGAGATTTCGTACCGATCTTTTACGCAAATGATTCGACGAAATATGTAGATCTACAAATTCGACCAAGAATCTAAACAGAGGCGTACGGCACGAGCCTACGACCAACCAATCCGAATTTCATTTCCGTTAATATTAACAAAGATAACTTAGCTTATCCCGAGATTTCAAATCGTTCGATATAAGTAGTAGGTAGAAACGAATTATCGCCTTGTCTTAGAATAAGATAAAAATCGATTTATTCCTAAATACACTCCGTGCATTTTTCTTACAAAGTACAAATCTCCATGCGTAGTAAATGTATATTGTGGCACGTAAATCGCTCAAGTAATGAAGAACTATACAAAATACTTCAGGTTACACAAATCGAATGCCCTTTTATATAAACAGTTGGCGGAAACGATAATTTTACTTCTACCCGACAACGTCGGCGAGTAACTCGAAACATCTCAAAATTTTTCATTGGATTCGATCAAATTTTCGCGCAATTCTTACTCTAGGTAAAGGAATGTTTTGTTTTCGTACGCGTCAAACGTTAGTGTTTCGTGGGTTAGACAGAAAGGTAATGGATTCGTCGTCGCTGGAATTCTCCAGATTTTTACTATTTTTTATATTAGTCTACTGCCTATTCAAATTTGAGGTTAAAATCTTCTTGCCGTCTTCTTTCTTCCCGGGACGATTATCGTACGTGTTACGTTCGGTTTCTAATTACGAGAATCGAAAGTAAAACTAAAGAAGCTAGTATTAATTTGGCCCCGTGAGAATGAATATCGTGTAAATTTTCAACGTATGTATCTGTAGATCCAGTCGACGTATTCGGATATTCTAGTATAAATGCCTGGGAGATTGGCTCTGGCGCATCCGACGCCCCAGGAAACCAGACCTATTAATACCGCTCTATTGTCCTTCTTTGTAACTAACGGACCGCCGGAATCACCCTAAATAATAAGCTTAATCTTTTAATGTGCGACTTTTACCAAATTCAATTTCTTAATCGTTACTTGTTCTTACCTGACAAGAGTCTTTACCGCCTTCTTTATATCCGGCGCATAACATAGTCGAATAAATAGTCTCTCTTCTTCCTACTTTCTTATACATATCTTGACATTCTTTTAAAGAATAAATGTTTACCTCTACCTTCTGTAGTTCGCTGGGTGCGTTTCTGTTACCTGAAATGAAAACATTTCTTGAAAATAGGCCTAGTATATAAGTAGGTATGGCCTTTACATCATCTTCGTAAAACCAATTATTACCGTATTGAATTCTTCCCCATCCAGTAACCGTAGCTTTCTGACCCGCAAAATCGTCGCCTTTCTCTGGCAAACAGGCTGGAATTATGTGTTTCCTGTAAACAACTGGATGGCTCAGTTCGAGAAGGGCGATGTCGTGCCTGTACGTTGACGGATGATAACCGGGATTGACTATTTTTCTTCGAACCGGATACTCTTCGTGGGGGAGCGATTCGCTGGTTTGTCTGATATTGTGCTCTCCTAATCGTACTTTCAGGTTTGAGGTGTGACTTCTGTAAAGTACAGTTTCTACTTCAAACATTCGATATTGCTCGGTATTGATTAGGATACCGACATATTTTCGAAGCGCAAGAAATGGCAAATTTGACATTGAAGAAATTCAATATTGTGAATAAACGATGCAGTGTTTTTTGCCGTAGGAGATCGAGCGGAGAAGCAGCTAGAGATTGTAGGCAAACCATCAGGGGCAAGTGTGCAGTGAAACTTCAAGTGAAACCTAGTGCAGTGCAGTGAAACTTCAAGTAGCAGAATATTTCAGAGGAGCCACAGACCAAAAGTATCTTTGGGGAGCCAGAGCCATAGTCACAAGAGATTATTAAAATTATATAAAAACGATTAAATTTCAATAAGTAAATTATTAGAGAAATGTATGTAAATTAAGATATTATGTTTAGATGAAATATAAAAGTAAGTTTTGACACGAAAATTTTAAACTTAAAATATTTTGTTACCAGACAATACAATTATTTCTTGTAAAGGAAGAAATGTCAGATATTGCACGTATAGTATATGCAAATATCGTCATTATTAATTTCTTTTCGAAGGATGTTTACTATTAAAATGTAGGGTATTGCGTGTACATGTATAGAGTGCATACACCAGGGGTTCCTAACCTTTTTCGTATATCGACCCCCTTTTAAAAAAATCTTCTTTCATCGATTCTCCTTCAATATTAATTATACTATATTATATATTATATTATAATATACTATATATAAATATATATGCTATAACCTCTTACGTAATTTTTAAAAACCTCTTCCTACACTTAATTAACAGCAAAAATGTGAAAGACTTTTGCTGTTAATTCGAAATTTTTTTTTATATTTGCAAAGCTACATCGACTCCTAAGAGATCAATGTCGACCTGGTTGAGAAACCGTGGCATACACTGTGAAATCTTAATTCAGTGCCACCATTTGTTCGCCTCTGAAATTGGCGTAAAATCGAGTATGGAGCTAAACTTAAGTATTTAAAAAGTAACCATTATATATAGGAATATCGTACGAATACACATTATGAATTTGAAGGTTGAAAGTTACGCATTTTAACATTAGAGAGGTTACGGCCTACGTTTTCATCGCGAAAACCTTTACGTCGGACGTTCAGCGCCGCCTTCCTGTAAACCTAGAAGTTTGATAATGGCATTTGGAATGTCAATGGAATCATGCTCGACGTTCCAAATGCCGTTGTCTAACTTCTAGGCTTACAGGAAGGCGGCGCTGAACGTCCGACGTAAACGTTTTCGCGATGAAAACGTCGGCCGCAACCTCTCTAATAATGATGTCGTTTGCAACGCAGAATCGTACATTTAATAACTCACATAAGGACCGTTTATTATAAAAGTGGTGTAAGTCCATTTTTAATTAAAAATCCATTCTATAATATTTTAAAAAGCAGTGGAATTTTTTAAGGTTTAAATTTTAATTTTTCCCCGAGCTACTATACGGGGGCCACAAAAAATATTAAGCTTAAAAGGGGCGAAAGGTCAAAAAACCGTTGGGTAACACTGATTAGTGTACTGATTTTACTATCTGTCAAAATTAATTGCGCAAAATTCACACGCTGGTCGAATCACTTTCNAAAAATATTTACATCGTCATCCACAACTCTAAATATTCAATATTTTTACTAATAGCGAATATACCGTTTAATCACATACGAAGGTAGATTTATTTAAACCAGGGTTGTCCAATCTTTTATCTTAATGGGCCAAATTAGAAATTTAGGTGTATTCAGCGGGCCACAAAGGTACAGTACTTTATATAAATTATTATTCTTTCTCATTATTTAAATTTTAATTTTTCCCCGAGCTACTATACGGGGGCCACAAAAAGGGGCGAAAGGTCAAAAAACCGTTGGGTAACACTGATTAGTGTACTGATTTTACTATCTGTCAAAATTAATTGCGCAAAATTCACACGCTGGTCGAATCACTTTCGAGAAATGTAGGCCCAACTGCATAGTTCCGTAACTAACAGGTATGTTGAGAGGGTTGATATACTTTTCACTAGGTATATTATGCTGGGCCTGTATTAGTTGAAAGTGATTCGACCACTCATAGGAACACACTGGCACCCGATGCTTCCCTGCACGATCTCTTATGGCACATGACTTATGAAAAACACTACAATAAAGAGAACCGAAATATTGTAAATTTACTTTTAAAACGTTTCGACTGCATTTGGAGTTTTTTAAAAGCTATTTAATGAGGAATTATCAACTTTTCAACAGAAGAACGTAGGAACGATTATTTGCATTTTACCTTACCTGTAGACGCAATGAGCAGCAGTTACGACCCATTTTTTGTGTATCAAAGCTCCTCCACACGCTATCTTCCTACTGAGCAGTGACTGTTTTACTATCGCAACCTGTGTAAATAAATAGTATAAGTGAATGTAAGAATCGTTAGCGTTACCTTTAAATAACGTTTTACACCTTACACGTGAGAATTACCTGCCACGGTTGTTGTCCGAATTTGGCATTCGATCCTCCGACTATTTTCGAATTCCTTACGTATATTTTGCCACATTCTAAATATTCAATAATTATATTAAGAGAGTGCAATTATGCGACGGAAATGATTGATTTCTTTAAAATTTATTGAAATTTTTACCAGGGTCATCCACTAAACCGACTCGAGAGGGCTCCGCATTATTCGGTACGCAGCAACTCCAGAACATCCCTCCACTGCAAGTATCCAACGGTTTCTTACCCTGAATCCAGCAAGAAAGTGAAGAGCCGCATTGGTAATTATTGCCTTGGTAAGTGCAGCTACGAGGGAGTGCTTGGATAAAATGAAATTTTCCAATTGACTTAAAAAATGAATAGGGATATTTACCACTAAAAAATCCAAAGTTATAAATACCTACTGAAAAAATACTGTGCTATGTTCAGCAGATTTTGTGCCGTCTGATAATCGAATAATTTGGGATTTTGCGGAGAGGTGACGGTGGTTCTTTTCGGAGACGACCACGACCAGCCGTTTTGCGCAAATGCCAGGTCCAGGAGGATGACTAGAATTAAAACGACACACGAGGACATCCTGAAAATATTCGACGGGACAAAAATATTTACATCGTCATCCACAACTCTAAATATTCAATATTTTTACTAATAGCGAATATACCGTTTAATCACATACGAAGGTAGATTTATTTAAACCAGGGTTGTCCAATCTTTTATCTTAATGGGCCAAATTAGAAATTTAGATATATTCAGTGGGCCACAAAGGTACAGTACTTTATATAAATATATGCTTAAAAAAGTTCAAAATATGTTTTTAAAAGTTTCAAAATATGGAAAGTTTCAAAATATATTTCAAAGTTTTCAAAAAGTTCAAAATATGGATATCAAATTTTAATATAATTACAAAAAATACTGTATTATTGAGAGTTAAAATGTTTTTTTTTCACTATGAAAAGTATAACTGTAATTATTAATGTAATAAATTGGAACATTTAGGACTTAGCAATTGGATCTCTGTTTTTACTTCATTACCAATATTACACAAACGCATCTTCCGAAGCTCTCCTTGTCTTTCTTTGTTTCGTAATCTTTATTTATTTAATTGCAAACTGCTATAATTTAATTACGATTTTTAAATAATTTCATTTATTTTACTCGTTTCTTTTATGTTAATAAACAACCTACGCTTTACGCATAAACACTGTTATAAAAAACTTTGGTAAGCTTGATTTGACGCGGGCCACAAACAAAAGAAATACAGTACAGCATCGATTATCCGACCCCCAATTAACATTCATTCATTCATTCATTATGTTTTATTGTACCAAAAATAAGTACAAGACCAGGCCCCGCGTTTGGCATTACCTGATGACACAGTTAATGGGATACAAGAGAAAATTACAGTATTTCCCGAAACACAATGAAATCAAATACATAAAAATAGACAATACGATACAAAACAAACATGAGGTACGTGAGAAGAGACCAGAGTGTACATTATAACGCAATACACCCCCAATTAACAGTCACCTCGGTTAACCGACCGTTCTAGTCGGCAAATTCAAATGTCCTCTAGTGATGTGGCGCTACAATATTTGGCTATGTCTTGGCTACTTTAATATTATTTTCACGTGTTTTAGCTGGCAACACTGGAACGACATGAAGGGGAGCCAGTATTTAAACGAGGCTTAATTTTCTAATTTTTAACGATACAATAGCGACGATTATTATTTTTTTAAAAATTTGATAGGCTTAACATGGAGGAAAATTCAACGCGAAGAAGGTTAATAGCGATATACTAATATACTAATTGCATGGGACATAATAATACACCACACTAATAATGGATTTTTTCATACTTTTCGGTTATCCGACTTTTCAATTATCCGACCAACCCCAGTCCCCAATTGGGTCGGATAATCGAGACTCTACTGTAATGGATTTTTTCATACTTTTCGGTTATCCGACTTTTCAATTATCCGACCAACCCCAGTCACCAATTGAGTCGGATAATCGATGCTCTACTGTACTACGAAATGAATAAAATTCGTTTCTACACTTTAATTTATTGGAACGTACGACGAAACACTCAAATTAATTGAATTAAGTTTATAAAACTTCCGGTCGAATTTATTACTTAAAAAAATCAAGCAACGAGCTGCTTAACTTTTCCGGAAACATTTAAACCTGTGTGGCGCCATCTCTTGCGATATTTTAGTAAAAAACATAAAAAGTTTTTTGATTATTATAAAATGGAAAAAATACTTAATTTTGAAGGTAGGGGCGAATTTTATATATAAAAAAACACAAATTGTAAACGCTAAAAACGAGTAAAACCGTCATGAAGTCCGATTCCACTCGAGACACGACACACGACTCCCTTTTATGTCCCCACCCCGTCGAACTTTAACCACCAAAATTTAGTAGCATCGATACCTCTAATATACAAACCTCCCTACAAAAAAAAATTTAAGAAACTTTTAACAAAAAACCCAGGAGTTAAGCTTCAAAGAAGGTAAACAAAATCGTGCTCATTATAGACTAACATCCGTACATACAAAAAAAAACCAAAATTTTTGTATTTCTCGATGATTCCAGGTCCCGAGTCCAGAAATGTAAAAATCTTTTTTACCGATGGTCGTACTTTCCCCGTGTTATAGCCTATTTAATAGCCGGGAAAGTAATAAATAAACGGCAAGCGATGTAAATTGTCAGAAATAAATAGACCCGTCCTTATACCACGGCCAAAACGTACCTCTGCGTTTGACTCGTCCATAAGGAAAATCGTGTCGTATCGTCTTTACCCACCCGGATTCATTTCCTTCGTATCCGGGAAATCTCGAGTTTCGTCAAATTCCTTGCCACATAAACAATTCGTCATTAAATTAAACAAAGAAATTAAAGAAATCTTAACTTGTCAATCGGACTACTTCTAGCGTTACCTTTATAATTAATTAAACTGTGTAAGATAGTTTTAAGGATAAATATAAAATTTTCATTAACGTACTTAATTAATTTTATAGCGAATCCTAAATTCCTAACACTTTGAATAATACGGTAAGTAATTTGTGATTTGATAAGGCTCGACGTCCTCTAAATTATTAGATAGCGGATACGAATGCATTATACTTATTTCGAATTAAATTTATTTTTATTTTCCCTGCTCTGTAGTAGATAACAGAGGGAAAGTATGACCCTCCAGATTTTTACACTTTTGGACTCGGGGATCTCGAAACGTCGAAAAACGCGAAGAAATTCATTGGTTTTTCTGTAGGTATGAGGAGCACGATTTTATTCACTCTCTTTGAAGCTAAATAAGACCCGTGCCTTTTGTGAAAAATTTCTGACATTTTGCAGAAAGATTTCAGTGTTAGGAGAATCGACGCTTATTAAAGTTTGGCGGGTGTTAAAGTTAAAGGGGTAAAGGTCGAGGGGTGGGAAGATAGAGTCGCGTGTCGTACGTCGAGTGGAATCGGGACTTAAGATTTTATTCTTTATTAGCATTTACAATTTTATAAAAACTCGTCTCTACCTTCAAATTTAAGGTTTTAGCCATTTTATGATAATTAATAATGTAAAAAGTGTTTAAATAAAATCTCGCAACGGATGGCGCCAAGCGCAATTTTAACTCTTGCCGGGAAAGTTACGCACCTCCGCTAAATTTTTATACGTTTGCATATTGGAAATTGAATCGTGCAAAGAATTGTAATCGGGAGGAAAGCCAACTACAATCAAACTTAAGCGTCGATTAATAACACTGAATAACGGGAGACATTGCAATTTTCCGAAATTTATTCACGTGTAAATCAAAGATTATTACATGCATCGATTAAATCAACCTATAATAATTCGCGACTCGTGCCCTGCCGAAATTCGAAATGTCTATGAGTCATAATGAAAAGTCCAATTAATTTTAAAAATTATAAGTAACTCGAAGCACTTAAAAACATCAAAGACCTTTCTTTACCTTTCGTCTTCGGTTATTTTCGGCGGGTGTGAATGCGATGCTTCGTTCATAAACAAAGCAATATCGAACTTACGTCGCGAGATAATTCGAGAGGGATAAAATATTGAAATTACTGAAGTTGATGAAACCGTAATTTCAAAACTCGTATACGTTATTAAAGGATAATTAACTCGCGACCGGATATTAGCTTGTGGGTAAAAAACAATTTATTTTCTTTATAATAAAGTCCCATGGATGACCCAACAATATCTACCCGAAGACATCTGCGATTTAGCTTGTGCACGGTCTTAACTTCGTTACTAGAAATAAATAATCGTAATCGATATCAACAACTATTAAATTTAGTTTTATCAGTTTACGGTTTACGGAATACAAAGAAGAGTACAATTAATCGTAAAAGTATGTATCTAAATTAAACGTCCACTGGCCCATATTTATTATTTTTTTAATGCACCACATATGTAGGGATTAATGACGCGAAACTTCATTTATACAGGAAATGTTGAGACAAAATGTCGTTTTCTTACGTAAACATTTCACGTTGGAATCATTTTTATTACCTAAAAAATGGCATACCGAAACAGACTACGCTTTTATCCGTCTTTTATACGAGCAAACTACAGTAATCGTCCGACGTTTTCTAACAAAATTTATTATTTTAAGGTAGTTTTATTACATTGATAAATTGGAAGAGCGAAGACGATTGTTACGTCGCTAGCCACGTTTCTATATTTGGAGATGCGAAGAAGATACCGTAATTAAACGGTGCAGTGACCGTTAACGCCGGTTTAAAGCTTCGTCCCGTCGAGGGACTTTAAACGGGTTACGAGATAAAAGTGGCTGTCGGTGTGCGACAAAATCTCTGCAGGAGGTAATGCGGAAGTTCGTGACCTCCGATGCTTCCTTTATTATTAAATATGGCGACTCTACCCTCTTTAGCTAGAGTTAAAGCGGGTGGAGTAGCCACGTCCGACACACATCTGACGAAATGCATTTTTTCCACACGGACTGTTTTTCAAAAAATGCAGTGTCCTTGGCCGGCGTTACGTAACCACCTCGATCGCAGGTTTGGGTGTAACGCTTGCAAGTAAGACAAACCACCACCCGCGTATTCGTACCAAAAAAAGTTAAACCGACGAAACCAATCATTAAAGAGAATTAGAACGAGAACCAAATACTTTTTTAAATTTTGCAATTATTAAGCTATTTTTTGAACTAATACTTACAACAGAAAGTAAAGTATTTAAAGAATTACAAAATTTCTGAGTAGCCTCCCGTAATGAATAAAGAAATATTATACAAACCTTGAACTACCCGGAGATCCCGTGTCCTAAAGTAGTCGAAGAAGATTAAGAAATGGCAAAACAATGCTTAGTACCTACACAGATATCCAGTCTACTGACCTTATTCTATATCTGGGTGAATGGACTTTCTATCAGGTCAAAGATTTTTGAGTTTCCTAGGGATTCCCTGCAGGAAAAAATTAATTTATAATAAAAATACAATATAAAACTTACTTGCGATAAACCCGTAACCTAATTCTGCAATTAAACGAATGTCCGAGAATGGTTCGGCGGATGATAAAACCGTAATCAAATTTCTTTAACGGCAATATTCTAAACGGCTACATTTTCCTACTCTTTTACTCGTTACGCTCG